TTACTCACGCCTAACGCTATACTCGAGAGACAGAAACTGATGGCCAGTACTCAGTACTCACTCGACAGGAAAGACATCTATAAGGAGTTGGGAGTCCTGGGCCTCGACTACGGACCAAACTTTCAACGCCTGAAACGCATTCAGACCAACGATTTTCGCGACATTTATGGCATCAATGAATGGGACGGAAATTTTGTCACATATTTGGACGCAATGTTGCAGTCAATGGTATTCGCCGCTCCGTTCCGTAAACTAATAGTTCCGGTGATGATTAGGACAATACGTGTGGACCCGCGTGTATTGTTTGACGCCCTGCGGCTGAACCGCAACTTACTATCAAAACGTATAAACGATTCGACCCAAGTGTCAACTGATTTGATACAAGAGTCGCCATTTCTGGGCACAGCTGAGGCCCGGCCTATACTGTACTCACATGATCGCCAATTCATTGAACGATTTGCCAAATACTCGGCTGAAATGCCTTTTTATTTTGATGCCAAATGTTGCCGATTAGTGGCTCACGGCTTGGAAGTGGAAGGCGTTATAGCACAACCCATTCCACGCCATCCGCCGATCGCTGACCTCGTACTCGATTCCTATCAGTTTGTAGCAAATGAAGACCATGATGCTATTAGTTCGGTAGATACTCAAATGGTTAGCCAGTATTTAGAGGTAGGCATTTTGTATTTTGCACAATTAACCGTCTAATTAACCGTACATAAATCACGATGTTGTTTGTTGTTTATAAGGAATAAATGTTTATTTCTTTAAAAGGTTTGCAAATCAATGGCGATTAAAGTGAAACAAATGGGTTTCAAAGAAATGAAATGCGATTTTAATTATCAAAGTATTGCTGATAATGTGATCGAAGAGTATAGAAATGAAAACAATGAAAATCGTGTGTTATTTCGTATATTTGATAAATTGCTGACAGAAATGGTTGACTACAACAAAAATATGAAGAATAGTCGAGATATGACTAAAGTATTGAATGAAATCCAAGAGAAACCGGAATACGATTTGAGTAAAGATATGATAAATCAGATCCAGAAGAATGAACGACTCATTCGATCGCTCGTTGATATCGTTTGCGAAAACGTTTTAAACATAAATGATATAAATGTGACCGAAATTAATGTGAGTGGAAATATATTAGCCAAAGAAGTGGAACAAATCATCTCATTCTTCAAAGCCGGTGCCTTTCATGTAAACTACAGTCTCGTTGTTAAGTCAAAACAGAATATCATTGATGTTTATAAGAGTAAAGCTATTGAATGGGATTCTAAGGATGACCTGCCGTTAAAACCCTCGCATTTGGTTATTATAAGAGACTCACAAGACTTATGGCAAATAGATTTGACTAAATTTACACAAAACGTGTTTGACTCCATAAACAGCAATGGATTTCTATTATCTGTATTTCGTTATAAGTTTACAGATCCGGAGATTGCGTTCATGTCTTTGATGGGAGATTCATATTTTCAGAATTCAATACTAAAAACAAGAATTACTGAATTTACTAAATTGAGTACAGAATCGGGCCTCAAATTAATTGCTACAAAATATGATGGCATCGGAACCGTTGCCATATTGTTTCGGAAAATGGATATTAAAGTCAAAGTCCCTCAAAACGACAATATAATCAAAATAAGCGGTGATTATCAGCAATGGTTTGGAGAATTGCAGCGAAAACTAAGAGCCGAGAAGGAGAGCAATCATAATGTCGATAACGTATGGCTTGTGGCGAATGACTCGTGTATTAATGGAATCATAGGTTTAATGAATTGTTTGCGTTTAGAACCGGGCGGAGAGAACTGCCGCTATATCTTCCATATGGACACCAATACTGACACTAACATTGACTTCAATACTAAACCCTATTCTGATATATTGGCCAACGATTTGGTCGCTAATGTCATCAAAGGGGGAAAAGTGGGAACTTATAGACACATCGCATTAACCACAGATAGTGATAAAGTCTTTACAAATGATTATTACTTAAATTTGGGTCAAACTCGGGAACTATCGGGACTTCAATGGTATGATTTAAGCACAGTTTCAACACCGAAACATTGCTATGATTTTGTTGGCAATGAAGTGACAAAACACAAGATTCATATTTATAGCGCCGGCATAATATTTCACGACGTTATGGTCGCAACAGGTATTGTAACAAAAAATTACTATAATGTGACATTAGATTTATTAGTAGATTTAATATGCCTTGTTATTATATATTACTGATAATATATTGTAATATTTTTGTAACTAAAAAATAGGGCAAATTCCTATTGGACCAGAGGCCATATACACAGAGTGTATCATTGGGGGTGAGTTTGCTGGTCGTCGGGCCGACACAGGAGAAAGGGTGATGGGTATAGAATTGGGCCGTTGTGTTAGCACATTCGTAAATGTGGCCTCTCATGCATTCAGTCCCATACCTGACCACTGGTCTATGGATGAGGCCGTCTCTATACTCAGCACATATAGTACCACTTATTATGGCTTAATCAGAAAGGGAAGACTCCAACGTGGTAATATATAATTAGTACATTGAAATGTTTCTGCTAGAAACGTCTATCTATTTCTATTATAAAATTCTGATATATTTTAGGTGAAAGTATTTTAATACACTCGGCTGCGGGAGGTGTGGGTCAGGCGGCTATGAATGTGTGTAAACACTATGAATGCGATATCTATGCGACGGTTGGGACGGAAGAGAAGAAACAGTTTTTGATGAATGAATACAATATACCGGAGAATAAGATATTCAACTCAAGAGATATACTCTTCAAGAGTCAGATAATGGAAGCGACGGAAGGAAAGGGAGTCGACGTTGTGTTGAATTCATTGTCGGGCGAGAAACTGGTGGCCACTTATGAGTGTGTAGCTAATAGCGGGCGGATTGTTGAGATGGGTCGGTACGATATGGTTCAGAATAGAAAATTAGGCATGTTTGATTTTGTCCGCGATATAGACTTAATATGCGTAGTACTAGACCTCGTCGTAGAAAGAAATCCAAAATTTTTGCCCGAATTTTTTGATTGGGTTCACAAAAACATTACAAACGGTTGCGTAAAACCAATCAATCAAACTGTGTTTCCGGCGGCCGAAGCAGTAAATGCCTT